ATAAAAAAGGCCAGAATTTTTCCCCAGGACATTAAAGATCTTGTACAAATCTCTCTCTGCTACTGTGTGTGCAAGTCTAGAGTCAGATATGCTTGGATATCAAAATTAACACCATAAACAAGTTTATATTCTAGCACGAATTTGAGTCACTTTTGCTGATTCCTTCAACTAAGCATCTTATTCAGAAATGAGCATTTTATCACTATGATGTGAAGATTCATTATAGCTGTATAAGACTTCAAGCAAAAGGTTCAAATTCAAACCTTCTTTTTCTGATTTTGAAACCTCTAATCAAAATAAAATTAAATAAAGCAATTAGGCTATAAAAAAGTCTTCTACAATCTCAGAAGAAATATGGTAGTTCAAATTCTAACTGCATTTTAATTCAAAACAGTTAGGGAAAAGTAATTTTCATCAATTATTGATTTATCAATATCCTTGATTTCATGGAACATTTTTAATAGCTGTGTTCTAATTAAATAGCATTATTCAAATATAATAAATTTTATAACCATCACTTAACATTGACTGCTTGGGTTTTTAATAGCTCTCTGTCACCTTCAGATGTCTCTTAAAAAGTATAATCAATTTTACATGCTCGCTTCCTGGCTGCTGTTGGACTAGGGAAACTCTCCGTGTTTTGATGTAGGAATATATCAGTGCAGGATGTACCCCTGAGACAGGTGGCATTTCTTTGTGTTGTGACCAAAATCAGTACAACCAGAGAAGGCTTGCAGGTACCTGCAAGTGGGGGATGACATTCCTTCAGCAGGTATTAAATCAAGTGAACAAATGCAATATTGCCATCAGTGAGTAAAATTCCCTACATTTTGCTGGGAGGAAGCTGTGGATGTGATTCAGCTTTCATCCAATACCTCCATACTAACGTTATTCCCTTCAGAGAAAAGAATGCTGTTTGCAGTCCTGCTTTTACCCAGTCCCGGCGTATTAACTTTATTCCCTTGAGATGAAAAACGCTCTTTAAAATATTAGGATTTGAAAAATCTTATTTTCCACCTCCCCAGCCACAAGAGGCTGTGGCATAGATTGTGATCATTTTCTCCTTTTGATGATCCTTTAAAGAATTCTATTTTTATTGCAGCTGAGATTGGTACTTAGTGTGTTCCATCTTCCAGGTGCACTAATTACTTACCTAGATAATCTTTCTAACACTCAGTGAAAATATAAGTAGTTCTATAAAATGAATAGAGTTGCAAAAGCCATTCTGGCGTATCTTGTTGCTCTAATTGGCTTGAATTTAACTGTGGGGGTTGAGGGAAGGAAGGAGAAGAAAAACATGGTGTTTTCCTTGTCTTGCTTGAAAGATAAAGCTAAAAAACTTCTATATCATATAAAATTTTTCACTTGAGTTAAAATAATGCATCAGTATAAGATAAACTCAGTGGTTATACCAAGGCTTAAGGTGCAAACAGCCTGGATTTATTCCTTCCTCTGCCAGTGAGAACTGAACTGCAAGTGGCACTTTCCAGAAGAAGGTTCCAACTTAAAACTGATTTTTTGCACATCCCTCTTAGCACTTACAATGGCTGAGAGTAATAGAAAAACTCAGCATATTTAGTGAATGATGTGTTTTTAAATACATAAGTATTATATAAATTTTACCATAAATCTTTTGCAATAAGCACTATTTACAGAGAAAATTACTAAAGCAAAGCAAATACCAGTTTCGGTAACTCACTGAGCTAAACACCTAAACCAAGTGCCTGGATTGGTTCTGAAATGGTGGGTTTGTAATTAATACTTTACTCTGCAATGTGTTGACATTGGTGATTTATTACAGCTCTTACTTTAAAAGTATAAGCAGATTTATAGACTTTGAGGTGAGGTAGAAATGTCACATTAAAAACGAGGGGGGTTAGTTGAAAAATTTTCTTACTACTATGTGTGTATTAAAATGGTTTCTAATATAATTTTCTGTTAGCCTTGGGAAACTAATGGTGGGATATGAGCACTTTAATGCTGATTTCATTTAAAGTAGAAAGAGGTTAGTTGTCTGTGTGGGTGGCAAGGTTAGGGAATTTATGGTTACAGACAAAACACTTCTAAAGACTCAGTTTCTAGGACTTTAATCCTAAATTTTTCTTCCTATTAAAGTAATCCCACTTGCAAGGATGTATATTAAAAATAAAGAACATTTTTTAATAGCATCTAAGCAGACCATGCATCATAGCACAGACCTGGCCCATGGCCATTCAAATAAAAAAGGACTACTGTGTATGGTACAACTCCCTGGATGACCCAGGAAATTTTAAATTCCAGTTGAAGGCCTATTCCTCCTGTTTTTCTGCTTCTCATCAAAAGGTCTTGACACCTCACCTTTAAAATAGTGATAGAAACATTTGAGTGAAAGGCATGACAATTTGGGGAAATGCTTCTATGGAAGCTGTTTCTTAACATGGTTTTCAGAAGATCTCTTAAGTATAAATTGTTTTGCACTGAAGGGATTTGTGCTGCACGGCACTGACAGTTAAGTGGTAAATGGAATATCTCAGTGGGCTCTGTATTACTGTTGAACAAAACACAGAAGTTGAACACTAAATAAAACTGTGCTTAAATACAGGAATAAAAGTGAAGTCAAGAGGACAGTGGGTTTTATGTCATATCTGCAAGCGTCCTTGTTCCAGCAAAAGGCATTCAGATATCACTTCTTTGATGACAATAACTACTTCTGAAGCAGTTGGCTTTTTTGTTTCTTTTGGGGTTTTTTCTCATGGTGGGAAATTTGAATAAGTTGCACTCTGTGAATAAAGTGTCATATGAGTGAGTGATATACTTTTTGAAAGAGAGAGTAAAAGGAGATGAATCTTTCATAAGAGATCATATCATGGCTGTGACTGGAATAGGAAGGAGCTGGGCCTGCTCTAAATGAGCTATTGAAATAGCACCTGGATTTTTGCTACACAAAGGAAGGAAAGTAGTCTGGATTTAATCTTATAGCAGGCAGGCAGTGGTCTGATAGTGGAAGATCAAAATACAGAGAAACTAGAGATAAGAGAGGAAACAAAATAAACCAGCACATTTCAGCAAACACACAAACACACACAAATGTTTGAATTAGCAAGAAACAGGATGCATATAGTCAGTAGAAGGAGGTAAAGTTATTGGGAAATGTAAAAAATGCACTGAAGTGGATTCACAAGAAATCCATAAAGATTTCATCTTGATCAGACTGCTGGAGACAAGTGGTGAGGAGTTCAAAATCAGCTATGTCATGAAAGCACTTCAGGCAAGAGTAAAAGCTTGATTTTACTGGTAAAGATTATTGAGAAAGAGTATAGAGTGAAAGCAATGATACAGCAAAAATCTGTTTTCCTCAAAAAAAAGTATGGTAACAGAAAATCAGAAGATACGAGAAATAAAATTTAGTTTCAGAAACGGTATTTCTAAAATGCATCAATAGTAGATCTACTTTGCCTTTCTTTTAGTCTTGAATGAGATTTTGTAAATTAAGAATGAAATATCATTCAGCTTTAAAACCTCTGGGGCACCTTTATCTTATCCCAACAACCAAAATATGCAGTTGTGGCTCTTCATAGCCATAGTATCCTTCCCTAAAAGGATTTTCATGTATACACAATTAGCTATTTTATATATATGTAGATCCTATCATGACACCACTGATACATTTTTCTAATGATTTAAATAATGTATCAGATGACATTCCCACAAAGACATTGGCTCATGGTTGCTCCCAAATGGAAATGCAAGGATTTACCATCATTTCTATGGGTCACAAGATCCCATACTTTGAGGTTTTTTGACAACTGGTTTCTCTCATTTAAATGTAATGAAAATAATTTAAAACTGCTAACCTGCAAATATTTTATGTGTTTGTTTTCATGTCGTTCAGTATTGCAGCACAAAATGGGGCCTATGGAATATGTGCTTGGGATAATTGATGGTGCTGCCATGGGGTCCAAAATATCTTTCCACATGCTAATAGGGTTTATGCCATTTTGCCTCACAAATTTGTTTTAATGATTGTGACAGCTCTCATTTTTCCTTTGTTAAATCTTAGTGACTGTTATTGGATATTTATTTTTAGAAGCACAAACATATTACAAAAAACACATAAGCTCACTGAGGACAAATAAAAAAATCTCCATAGTAACATTCCAAATAGTGATGTATGACTGTTGTAGACAGACTGACAAACTTCAGTCCTAACTCTGCAACAGGATTTGTTAGCATAGAATCCTGAGCTCAAAAGTGACTTCAGAAGAGAAAAGCCCTCCACTTCTCTGTGGTTATTTGGCAGCATTTTTTTCCAAATGTGGATAAATTTATTTTATTAGTTTTTATATAATCAGCTGCAAATGTAATCAAGACAAATAAATATTTTGGTTTTGCTTGTTTGTTCACAGAAGAAATTCTACCCTAATCATGTATTTTAATCTTTTTTTATAACACCTTTAAATGATATCTTAAAGAGCTTGGTTTCAAATGAGTATTGATATTGATGTCCATACAGAGCAATAAAAGTTTCCACCTGTAGGATAATATTCATGGTAGTAAGAAAGACTGTGCTATATTTCAAAGGCACAGGTTCTTGGAAGTCCATTTAGGAAATCTCTTTTTCTCTCTTGGCATTAGTGCACCCACACCCAGCCACTTTTGTAACCAGGAGCCATTTCCCAGGCTCACCTCTGTAAACACAAGTGAAGCTAAATTCCCTCAGCTTCCTTGCATTTGCACTGGAGCTTGTATAACTTACTTGCTGTTTACATATTCTACCATTTTCTATGTCAAGCTTTCATACACGAATCAGAGAAAAACATGCAAGCAACTATGATGTTTAAAGCTAAAGGACACTCGGTATACTGTATAGCAAATTAGGTGGTTTTAAAATCCACCCTTGCAATAGCAGCAATTTCTGTTCCTTTCATCTAAACAGTTCTGTATTCCAAGGGAATCTGGAATAATCAGTAGTTTGTTACAGACATGAGTCATAATTATGTTCTTTCTCTCTCTCGTTTAAGTTGTTCGAGTTCATGAATTTTTTGGCTGAGAACGTCATCTTCTGTTACATGGGACTTGCACTATTTACATTTCAAAATCACATCTTCAATCCTCTTTTTATATTTGGTGCATTTGTATCCTTTTCTTTAAAGAAGTATGTATCTAAGTGCATGTGTATATATATATAAAAAAATGTACGTTTCATGAGGAAAAAAAAAAAGCCAGTAGGCAAACCAGTCAGTTCCTTGAATAACTAAAAATCAATTTTTGTCAAGTCCAAGAGCAATGATCTGTATTACCTGTATCTTAATAACTGCCCCAGGGCACATAAGCACATGTTCTTTGGACAGTTGCTGTTTTGCTCACCTGCTACCAAGTAAATGGGTTTAAACCATCTGGGGAACTTTTGCCACTGGTTTACAAGTGGGGTGGGAAATTGGGATGAGTATTGGGGCACATCTCTGGGGACAGGTGCTGGCACACAAAATCTTTTTGCCTGTCCAGAGCCAGTGCAGATCCACAAACTGTAGAGCTGCCTCCAGATAGATGTGTGCCATAAGCAGGACTTCCCCAAAACTACTTAAATGATATGAAGTCCTTAAAAACAAGCAGTTCTGCTTTCCTTCTTTATATTTGATATCTCTAGAGTACATAGATTTATTTATACCATCATGTGCCTGACTGGTAAGAAAAAGAGTCTGTGTCTTTAATTCTGCCATGGTTTCTCAACAAATCTGTGGTTTACTTGCACAGCACTATAGATTTTTTTTCACACTGACAATTTATACAATGATTTGTTTGGCTCAGAGCAGCAGCCCTTTGCTTATCACTTTAAGATGAACTGTAATAGCTTTGAAAGTTGGGATCACAGTGTTTACTTACAGTAATTTCTATATGTAATTTCTAAATGAATAACAACAACCCATCAGAGGTCCCTTGGCTACAGGTTGGTTGGATGGCAGAGAGGACCCCCCCCAGCAAGGCAGTACAGTCCCGTGTCCTGCACTCCTGGCATGGGAAGGCAGCCCCATGTTTCTAACTAAGGTAACTTTTGTGAAAGTTTCATGGAGAAGTAATAAAGAACATTCAAAGAATCTACACAGAAAAGGGGAAGAAAAAGCAAAACGTGCAAGGACAATACGAATCGTCAGGAAATAAGAAAGTGATAATCAGGTCCAAAAGCACATTTATTCTTTGCAAATTGCTGCTCAAGGAGATAATGCTATCTCTGCAATTGATGATGGGCATTTTACTGAAGGGATGAAGTCACATGTGACACAAATGTGATGAGTAGAAGTAGAGTGATTGAAGTGGGATATATAATGATGAATATAAAACCAGGATGTCTGGGGAAGGCTAATCTTTGCCACCGCACAGTTTTATTGGAAGCAGAAGGATGTGACATGTAAAATATGATGGAAGATAATAACATATTCATTTTAATTACACTTTAAAATAGCTTTAGAGAAATATTTGGTTAACTCTGATTTTGTCAGTAGTTCCTCCACTATTTTCCTCAACATCTTACATTTCAGGTGGCAGTTTTTGTAGCAAGAGCTTGCAACATATACCCACTTTCTTTCCTTTTGAATTTGGGTCGAAAACAAAAGATTCCCAGGAACTTTCAGCACATGATGATGTTTTCAGGTAAGAGCTATTTTGGTATTTTTGGTATTTTTCCTCTCCACATTAATGACTGACAAAGATAGTCATCTATCACTAGAAAAACCCATATCTATCACAAAGAATTTATTATCCTCAAAGTCAAGGTCATCTCTTCAAAGCTACTAAAGCAAATGGATGCATTCTCATCAACTTCCCTATGCTCTAGACATATTTTAATTAACTTTTTGGAAACTCACCACCCAGGAAGCCATTGTCTTTCCAACCATTGTCCCCCATTTGTCTACACTTCCATGGCAATTTGGGAATACCATGTTTGTATGCTGAGTCATTTTAAAGGCACCTGTAGTATATCTGACAGTATGCTTACATACCAGCAAATAAATACCCAGCTTGGACATTGTTAGTACTGATACATCAGACATGGTCTTTGGCATTCCTTTAACTACAGGAACAGTTTTACTTTGAAACATGAGACTAGAAGACTTTAATTCCACAGACCTTTTCATATGTGTTCCAGCTTGATATTTATTGATTTTTGTTAGCATTGTAGAATAATAGAAAAAGAATTTAAAAATCCAGAAGAGGGAGCCGTGTTCTACTATGATTTGTACTCAGCCCTGGAACTGCCAAAATCTGAACTGGATTCTCTATTTTTTGATTTGTACAAGCTAGAAATAACTCCACGTGACTTTCTGACGCTAGTTAGGAAAAACTAACTTATAAGCTAAGAACATTTGTTCAGTAAAAGACAGAAATGCAGACCCCCCCCAATGCCATTTATGATACAATTTTCTAAAATTAGAAACTTAGCACTTTTTTCCCCTTCATTTTCCTGCTTTTTATATAAAAATCTATTCCAGATTCTTATGGATAAAAGTCCTTGATTGACAGCCTTGATGCACACCAATCCATTTAGCCAGATAACAAGTGCAATACAATGAGCCACATTTCAAGCTTCCTCATCAGGAGTGCTCCACCTCAGGGGGCCTCATTTGTGCCGACGTAATTCCAGCTCTCTGGAGAGCAACACAGTAGTTCATTTCTATATCTATTCAATCCTTCTGCTAAAAGCTGCCACTGAAAATGTCAGTTAATACCAGCTAGACTGTAGTGAGAGATGATGACACATCCAGTGGGAACTGCCTTTCAAACCACCTGCTCACCTGGACTGTCCTACGGGTAACTTGTGTATGTAGATCACTCTAGTAAAGACAGCAAGCAGGTGGCCAACTGGACAACAGCATGAAAAACAGCTCCATATCATTTGTTATCTAGTTTTGGGGCTTCATTTTGGCCTTTGTTTTTCATCAGCTAAAGCAGAGAATTAAAAATCTTCTGAAGTGTATCTCATTCTTTAACTTTTCTGTCCTCGTTTTCTGCAGTTGAATTTCATTCTCCACAGAGCAGGAGCAGAAAGTAGCCTGCAGCCAACAAGCGAATGTGAGAGCTCACACTCACACATTAGCTTTCCAGGACAATCTGGCAGCTGAGAACTGAAACAGCAGTATTGCAAACTTCTAAAATGTAAATGTTAAAATTCTCAGAAAAGTAATTTTTAACTATTCTTGAAGAAAAAAAAAGTGTATTTTGTAGAGAAAAATGTCTTTACAACATTATAGTAAAGTAAATGGCATCATCTGCAAGTAGAATAAAGACTGACTGTCTCTCACACTGCCAGCAGCTGCACACTTCACAGAACACTTAGGATACACAGATTATCTGTGTAATTGTACTTTTTAAGATGCACCAAGATTTGTGCTTAGTTACCAATAACATTCTTATGTGCTATAAACTGATCATGCTGTATATTGTGATAAACAGAGAACAATGACTGCCAGAAGAGAGACACATTTCTGACACAAGTAAACAAGACACTGAATTTTAGTTTGAAGGAAAACATTATCTACCAAAGGTCAGTAGCAACAGTCATAAATAGTTTGGTTGGAGGGGATCTTCAAAGGTCTAATCCAACCCTCTGCAATAAGCAGGGACATCTTCAACTAGCTTAGGGCTCAGAGCCCCATCCAACCTGACCTTTAGTGTCTCCAGGGATGGGGGATCCACCACATCTCTGGGCAACCTGCCAGTATTTACCACCTTCATTGTTCTGGTGTAGCATCAGGTTCTAGTCAATCACAGGGGAAAATGGGCTTCACTCCCCACAGCATCAGACATTCAGGTGTAGAAAAGAATGAATTTGGGGATAGTTTTGTTTTCTATCTTATCATTACCAAACACACCAAATATTTACTGTTTTTTTAACTGAGTTTTAGAGCCACAATCACCAAAGTGATTGCAACTAAGGTCAGGCAACTACATTTTCAATTAGTATTTGATTATAACTTATCCTGCAAAGAATTCTACTGAAATCATCAAGTTCTGCTTTTCGAGGAGTATTAATAAATTTGAGAAAAAGCAGAAGTGTTAGGCTTGGAAGTGGATTGAGTAGCATTTTGATTTATCACATTCTTCATCTGCTTCTGCCACTCCTCTAACAACACATTACAGAGGGTGGATTCATTTCTACCACTATGTTTAATCATGATTCCTGATAACATTCCATTGTAAATGAAAACTTGATTAGCCCTTGTAAATTAAGCCTGAGCTTCTCAAATTAAGCGGAACATCACCTAAAGTAAACAGTCCAGCAGTCTCTGCTCATGTGAAAAAGAAATGCTTTAAAGTCTTAAATTGTAAGGGAGATATCACCACACACTAGTGGTCTATGTTCCATGAAAAATGCCTCATTTCACTTCAGACCCTACTATGATGCATTTAACAGCTAATAAAATTAAAAGGAAAGGAAAATTAATGGATACAGATGAACTTCCACTCCTCTTCCAATATTCTTATTTACTTTTTACTGTGCCCTCTTCTCTACAGCATATAAATCAGCAACAGAGAGGCTTGTGGGACACAGTGCTACAGGGATTGTTGCTGTTAACGTAAGGCATTACAGCAGCAGTGGAGTCTGCAAGGGAGGAACACAAATGCCAAAATACAACAAAAAAGAATGCCAGTGTACAGGCAGCTGCTGTGCAGGCATTTACAGCTGCACACTCATACAGACATGGAGGTGGGAAGTGTCAACGTGAACTTTTCCAAGAGACATAGATACATAAAGAAATCAGCTAAATAGAAGAGAAAGCAAGGAAGAAAAGAGCAGAGAACTACAGTTGAAACCAAAACACCAGATTTACCTACAGAAAGTCTCCCTTCCTGGCAGATTCTCTTCACACCAACAACAAACACTACATCCCTCAAAGCTCCTCAGAGTGCTGGGCTGGGAGAGATGTGTCTGTGTGGAGTCTGAGCAAAGGATGGCTAACAGCCCAACTGGTTTATTCCATGGACCTCTGACACTTAACCCTGGGGTGGTTTTCTTTGAAGGTTCTGACATATTAAAGAATATCAGTTAAAAATGAATCCATAATGGTTGGCACAGTCAGCAGAAAAATCTGATAGGAAATCTGTGATAGAGCCCAAGGATGAATGGATCACAGCACAGATGTGGAGCTGCTGTCAGTGCAGCATCTCTGAAAGATGAGGGGAGAGAATCTCTATCCACGGTTCATCAAGTGTTTTCCTTCTGCAGTGGCACTCTCTCCAGGTGGAGCTGAGGTACCAGTGTCCACTGCATCCAGTCATTCCACTCTGCTGTGCTGGCATTTTTCCCTGAGGTGTTAGAGAAAATCTAATCCTCCTTATCTTTCTATTTCAGCATCTTAACATTTTCTGAGGTTGTTAAAATTCCATTCCTTCATTTGTGTTATTACCCAGAATATATTTTGATATACAGAGAGAAGGGGAGTAGTGTTCCTTGCTTCTCATTGAGTCTTTACATTTGAGGTGTATTCATCTGCTTCCCCTGCTTTAGTTGGAAGCAAAGGCTTTGATCATTTATTTCACTTTAGACATTTTTTAGTTGAAACTGAACTAGCTCTTATGGACCATGTTGAGTCTTGTATAAATAAAAAATGCAGTGAAGGCACTCACTACTTTTCTAAACTGAAGAAACAGCCAGTCCAGTGCTCAAGAAACAGAGATACATTAATTAACTTTTTTTTCCCTATATCCTCTCTTATCAAAACAGATATTCTGTATTTAATATTGCAGTTGTGGAAAGCAGCATTGTTTTCCACCGAAATGTAGCTGGGCTAGTCAGAAAACCACCCCAGGGTTAAGTGTCAGAGGCCCATGGAATAAACCAGATTACCACTGTAACCACTGAAAAATACCTTTTCATTCCCTGTTCATTCCCTTCTCAGACACATGTTTAAAATGAGCTGATATTTTTTTTCCCTGTAAGAAAATAGTAAAGCATCTGCCTTCTCAGACACATCTTCTACACAAAAGCACATCCAAGGACAAATTCTGTTGCTGACTGCAGTGTTTGGAACCTGCTACGCTGACTGGGTAACTACAAGCTGGTTCCTCCTTGCAGAAATGGCTTTGTGCTGTTCCCTGGATAAACTGCCCAGCTTCTATTGCAAATAATTCACATTCTGGCTATGTAATCTTTGAGCTTTAGAGTTCTAGGCCAAAAATAGCTGCATTTAGCAGTTAATTAAATGATTCTGCATATGCCATCAGTGCCTTACAAGAGGTTTAATTACTAGATTTAATCTCTCAATTCCTCCAAAGTACTTTTTGGATTCAGTGTGTATTGTATACATGTAATAGCTTTCCTCTCTACCCTTATTTTGTAGAATTCTTTTTTAGAAAACAATAAAGTAAATTTAAATAGATAAATGAAAAGCACTGGAAAATATAGAGTGTTATTTGTATTATGCATCCTGAGGGCTGGAGGTACCAGCAGGAACTTTCCCCCTCAATTTTTAAACATGGAACTCTGTGAAGACCTATTTAGTCAGCTTATTACTACCTATGGGGCTTTTTTTAAACTCATTTAGCTGTTTTCACCACCTTTGTAAGTTATTGTTTTTTCAGTCTCCGTAGGTGTATAATTTTACAACTATTATAATATTTCAAGTACACTAATTTATTTTGCATCCCCTTTTAGATACTTAGAATCATTTTTTAAAACCTATTCATTGTACTTAAGCCATATTTTTTCTGACTGGTCTTAGCACGTTGAATTATTTTAAAGAAATGTTCTTTTTTCAAGCAAGAAACAATTTGCATGTTTGGGTACAGGTTTTAATGCCAATCCTCTTTCTCACACCTGACTTCAGGAGTAGTCCCACTGAACACAGGATACAGATTTCTTTTTCAACATGCAGAAAGTTCAGATTACTATTTCATTTGCAATTATTCAAGACAAAGAATTCAGTGGATGTAAAGCAACTGTGTGATTATTATGTGAAGATGAGAGTACTTTCATTGTCCACTTTTCAAAGTTGTTTACATTGCATTCAAACCCATCCTTTCAATCAGCACAATTCAGTATTTTATAAGGAGGATTATGATCTGAAAATTTCCTCTGCCCTTGGAACTGGGTTTGGACTGAACAGAGTAAAATTCTGTTTCTCCATCACATTAAGTTCATCCTCCTTGTCTTTTTTCTTTTTTCAGGTTTACGTGGTGCAATAGCATTTGCATTGGCAATTCAAGACACAAACTCCCAGCCCAAACAAATGATGTTTACCACAGCACTGCTAATTGTGTTTTTCACAGTCTGGGTGTTTGGTGGGGGCACGACACCAATGCTCACCTGGCTTCAGATCAGGTTAGTACTCTCTTTACAACATCAATCACTACCTTCTCACAACTTTCTAATGCTTACATATGTGCATTTTAAGAGTTTTAACAAGCAAAAAGGAAGTATTTGTCTACCTGGTAGAGGTTCCAGACCACAAGGAACAGGTTCTCCCCAGGTTTGTATTGGGTTTACACTTAGGTCAGACCCATCCCATCCACTACTGTTCCTTTGAAGCACTGTGAATAAATGTTAGTAGTGTCCTCCTCACTGTTGAAGAAAGAGCTATAAAAGTAGATTTTGCCATCATCTTAAAATGTGTATTTATTACACAAACTTATAATAAATCACATATTTCTGATTATAATGTGAATATGCTAGAAAAATCTTCCTGCATTGGTTTATCGTTCAGCCTCTGTTGGTACATCATTCAGTAACTAATTTATTACTAATTGTTTTATATATGCTTTTTTGCTATGGCATTTTTAAAATTACTTCATAGTGACTTCTATTCACAGACAAGGATGAATGGCAAGGGAGGTGAAATGACAAGAGAGTGAAATAAGAAGCTGGAATAAAAAGTACCTAATTTAAATGCAGTGTCCTTCCAAGTGTGCTTTTTTGAAACCCAACTTTTAATAATGATTGTAATGCTATTGCTGAGTTCTGGTCACTTCATAATCCATTTAGAACTCACTGCCATGATTTGTAAGATTACCAAAGAAAACCACAGTATCAAGATAGCCTTGAAATTCACAATTGCTTATAATTTATTCTATATATAGCATATATTTTCCTTGTTTACAAAATGATGTCTGATTACAAGCCTTTATGTCAGCCTGTTGCTGTAAAATACCAGCTGAAGGTAACCAAATTGGAGCTTTAACAAAGAGCATAGATAAAACTCCCAGACAAAATAAGGACTAGCGTGCAAATTTACTGTATAAACATAAAATGCAGGCATCCATATGTGTGTAGGGTCTTTCTATTTCTGTGACAGTTTGATTCTTTTACATGACATGTCTCATGTCCCATAATGTCAATCAAGTTCATCACAGTTTGGATACACTCTGGCAGTATCAGCTGCCTTTCTGAGATTTGCCACTTTTTCACTGTCAGTCAGCAACAGAGTTTACATGGCAACAGAAACATGGATGAGGAGGAGTGCTCTTATTAGGTCTTGGGGGCCATATCAGTTTGGATTTCTACAAAAGAGGAATAAGGAATAATTTTGAGACTACAGCAAAGGAAAGAGGCAGTGAGCAGTAGTCACATGTCTAGTCTAAGGACTTATCACTAGATGCCTGTCCTGGTTTAGCTTTCTGGGTAATTTTTAAATGAACATTGTCAAGTGCTTTCACTAAGCCAAGCAATTTAATTGGATGTAATTTCTTCTGCTACTTAGTGCTGCCCAGAGGTGCAGAGTCCCACAACACCACAAGCAAGGGGATCTCATGAATTGTTTATACTGTTCAATGCAATCATGTGCTTCTTTCTTCACCCACCTGTACAACAGATTTAACGAAAGACACTGAAAGCAGACAGTCATTATTGATTTGAAATGGTCATCTCTTTGAGGATCTACTCTGAATCCCAGCAGATCTGCCAGGCATTTTTCCCAATCAAATAAATTGCTTTTGTAATTGGGATATAGATTTTCTTACTATAAAGCTATTAGGTTCACAATTTCCAGCTAATTTCTTGACATCAGAGCATACAGCTTCACAAATTATAAGGTGGTCAAACTGAGATAAAATTTTAAATAGACAAATGTATATTGAGGCTCTGATTTCTCTCTCCAGTGAATATATTTCACTGTCTTTATAATTTATTGCACCTCAATATGGAATTTTGTCCTTAGCTACCATTTGTCTTTTTAATCTTAAGTAATTTTGCTAAGTAATTGTATCTAAAGGTGGTGGTGGTGGTAATTCATGACAGATGATACTTGTATGGATTCTAGCAGACTTGAGTTTGCTGAGAAAGTTATGGCCCTGCTGCAAATTACACCACCTTGCTTGGTGCACTCCCCCAGTATGTTTGCAGCTGTGCCTAAACAGCAGTTCTGAGCTGCATCTACACCCACATTTCTTTTTATAAATTTAGAAGAAAGAGACTGTATTTTTCAAGCTAGTTTGGAGGGTTCAGCTCACAAAGCCAAAGGAAACTGCATTACGACTACGCAAAACTTGTATGATTGTCTCTGAAGATATTTATTGGAATAGATTGGGGTGTCATCAATTACATAAAAAAGGGGTGAAGTGCTGCAATGACGTCTCTAAGCACACAAGAGGGAGACTCTTCTCACACTAGCCTTCAGTGTTCAACTGACATGAACCTACATCAGGCTCCACACCCCAGGACAGTTTGAAACGTCTCCTGTGGAATTCCCCAGGGGAATTCTGCTTTGGGGAAGCAGACCTACCACTACTGGTCAAATCCAAAGCACAGTGCTAGATCAGTTAATCTAAACAACTGGAAATAAAGTTATGCACATTATCAAAATAAAGTGCTTACAGGAAATTAAAAATAAATGAATGGTCACCGTAACTACACTGGATTTCTCTATATAATCTATAAGTTGTTGTACTGGTAAACCTTCTCAGGGGGCAGTAATGATCAGAAATACCATCATTTAGCAAATAACAGTTCCAAGTCGAATATGTTTTTTTGCCAATTAATTCTTTCATCATAAAATGGTTATCCAGCAGATAATGTATTTAATTGAACAGGAGGCATTCAGAGACTAGTAGAGAGGACCATGTGATTTCAGTCTATTTGGATGAATTGAATCTTATTCGCATAGAGTTTTGTGCTCACCCTCCCTATGTGGAATAGGCTACAGTTCCCAAGTAGCTCCAGAAATGCAACTCAGCTCCTCAAGGTTGATCAACTCAGTCTTATCCTAGAGTTAAATGCTTGAATTTATATGGTACAGACCAACTGTTTGGTTTTAAAACATAAATAAATCTAGCATCCATTATGTTGAATATACGTAAAAATAACACAAATCAGAAACAACTCACACCAATATCTTTACCATTTGCTCTACCATAATGCATTACAGAGTAAAGGCAAAAGAAGGTATCCAAGATCTGTCTTACTGTACATTATTGTCGACATATTGTACAATGTTTCACTTATGTATTGCACTCTCCATAATTTGTGAAGTTCTCATAACAGTGACCAGGACTCTTAGGGTATAAGAAAAAATAACAATTTTAAAATGATAGCAGGAATTAATAGTCTTCTGAAAAATCAATCTTTGTTTCCATAATAACTGGAATTTCCATAATCTTCCATCTCTCCTCACAGCAATAGCATCAGATCTGTTTTTCTTTTTTTTTTTTCAGTTAAAATTTAACATAATGTAAATATAATCTGTCACTCTATTTTTAGAGAAAAGATGAAGATGTGTCCTCAGAGATAACTACCATTTGATTTATTCCAGGAATATGTATGGCTTATACAACACTTGCAAATTGTTGCCAAAACATATAGTAAGATGTATTATCAAAACTAACCATGTGCTACTGAAAAAGGCTCAACTTCCACCCCCATTTAATGCAGCAATATCACTCAGCTATCCCACAAGGTTGCAGAAGCCAGCTGTGCTAAGAGCTTTTGTAAAAACAAGCTTAAATAGATCCCAGGAGTTCACCAAGTTTATTAAAGTTCAGAGTTCTAGTTCCCTTTATTTAACAAATAAATTATATTGAAACATTTATTCCTACTTAAACCGTAGCTTGAATTTAAGAAAAGTTCTTAAAGCCTTGGAAATCTGACCTGCTAATGGCAAAATTTATGTCTACATGTCTCTGTATGTCAAAACACAGTTTTAAAAGAAACCCATATGAATAATTCTCATTATTTTACTACCACATTTACTCATACAGAGCAGCCTTTAAAATGAGTCTTGAAATTCTGGGCAAAGACTAAATATTTTTTAACTTTGTGCTAAAAAGAATGAAACATACACTTCTGGAAATGTCTTATTTATTTTAACTGTCTCATTTTTAGATACCTGAAACACTGTGTTTCAGGAAGTGTTTAATGTTCTCTTACTGAAAATCGGGTCCTATTTAAATGTTCCCAGTTGTCTGGTGCAGTAACTTAACATTTCTGAGCAAGAGGCACATGCACAGTCCATTACAGCATTATCAGCTGGCATTCAGAGAGCAGAAGTGGTTGCACCACATTCCTAAATAATACATTGTCTTTTGGCTTATCTGAGAGTTATAACTCAGGGGAAAAAAATTGTTTTTACTCCCCATGTGAAAGGACTACAATATTCTGTCCCTGGCAGAATAAATGAATAAACCTGCATCAGTGTGTGAGAATAATTTCATGATACATCAACACCAAGACAAAGATAGCCATGTGGGTTCCCAGTCAAATTGAAGTATTGAATAAATGTGCCTTCAGAGATGCTGAGTATTACTTGCTAATGCTTTTAGATATATGTGTCCCTTCGTTCCCCATACTCTGATTAAAAATAGAGAGCTACATTTTACAGTAAATCTGCAATGAGAGGTTTGAGGATAAAGGATTCTCCTGACAGGCAGAGCAAAAATACAAAGCTGTTAATAAAATATGTGCCATAAAAGCACTGTGCTAAGTATTAGGTCTTGTTTGTTTATCATCACCTTCTGTGTAAATGTTTGTCAAGAGATTTCCAGACTCTTTGTGCATCTCTTTGCAGCAGTTCTTCAGTTAATAAGGATATTTTTATTCCATATTCTAAATAAATACTAAGCAGCATTGAATAGTAACTTTTAATACTGTGCCCATCAGGCCATTCCCTTTGTATGTGCTTTAGAAAAGTGTGTGCCCTTAAAATCATGCCCTCTCTAGTTCACCCAAAACTTCAGTTCCAAACCTTCAACTTTCTCTAAATATTAATGCCAGAGGCCTGGCATATCACATTTCTGGGGAATAGCCTAGGCTGTCCAAACTCACGTTCTCAGCAGAAGTAGTCAAGACTTTGGTTCCTTTAGTATCCAACACTTCAATCCATTGTTCAGTATCAA